TATAAAGCTGTTAATAGTGTCACGCACCATATGGTCTATGGTACACGATGAAAGTCTTCATACCTATCTTTAGCGATGTCAAACGTTTCAACTACCTCCTTTCGGCCAGAAAACATTTGAATTACGTCAAACAATTACGCTTACATTTGTTGAATACATGTTAAGTTTATTGGTTTTCGAGATACTGGACTTCGAATTCTTACATACTCCCTCCGTTCTTTTATAAGTGATGTTTTAAGCTTCTAATTTTGTTCTTAAATAGATGGTATTTTCAATTTTCAATGCAAAATTAATTCAACATACTCCCTCCGTTTTTTTTATTATTTTTGATGATTTATTGTTCTTTATTGGTTGATTAGATAATAAATGATGTTTTAGTTTAGAAATAAACAAAAAAATAAATGATTTCTGAAAATATGTGCATTCTCCTAAAACATCACTTATAAAAGAACGGAGGGAGTATAAAAAAGTTAACCAATTATTCATTGGGTACCTCGTAATAATTAGTTTGAGCTTTGATCTTAATTGCCCCAAAAAAATATCAAAAAACATGAAATATACATCCGCTGTGAATGTGATATGTTTATAAACTTTTGATTGAAACTTACATATGTAAACAGCCAGAGTAACTCATCTGGTTGAGTAAATATTTCTTTTCGGTAAAGATGTTGAGTTTAATTTTAAAAAATCGATTTGTTACTACAGTAAAATAGTCATATTCAAGATCAGAGAAGATAATTAGATCTTATTTATTTATCCATTATTATTATTTTTAAGAGAATTAGATTTGTTAAATGATCTCTCCCAAAAATGTGACTATGAACTTCAATTTTGCAACTACTAAATACTATAACACGTTCTTTGGAGAAAAAAAGTCAAGATAATTAATAAAATTTTTGAAAATAGTAAAATGTTTAGATCGAGATCTACCTCGAATTCAAAGAAGTGAAACAAGAATATCTACTTCGAAACTTGAATTACGTTGTGTACTGCAGATTCAATCAAGTACACTACTAACTAAACTCTTTCTCAACTTGGCATTATTCAGTAATCAGTAGTACTAATAAACTAGATATCTATGTGCGGAATAAAGTGATTCAAATAAAATTATTATCCTGGATCCAATATCCGTTTGTGTAAAACGAAACATATAATAATTTTTGGAACTATTTCGTATAATAATACGTTTTATCCGTGAACTATTTTGGTTTATATATAAATGTGGTTATAATGTTTTTCTTCGAAAAGTTAGAATCTCTCCAAGAAATCGGATTTTAAGTATCCGTAACATATATAGAAAAGAGATTATCTTCTTATGTATTTAAGTCAATAAATATAAAAATGTGTGAAATATGTAGAGATTTTGTAGTTTTGAATTTGAGATTCTTGAACCAAATGTATATATCTTATTATTTAAATATAAACATAAATATAAATATAAATAAAAATATTGATTTGATCATTAACCCTCTCTCTAATCTCGCGTGTTTATCAAACTAAACGGAAAGAGTTTATGGGCCGAGGCCCATTTTAAAGCCCAATTTTCGATTTCTTTTTCCCCAAGTCATTCCCGCTAATAAAACCTAATTTTAGATTCTCACTGCGTCTCTTCTCTTTCGTCTTCGAACAAATCTTCGCCGTTGGGTTCCAGAAAAGAGGTATGATAATCAATAATATTCTCAGACGAAGTGCTTCTTCATTGTCTTGCGTCAAATTTCGATTTTTCATTGTCTAATTGACGTCTTTGATTTAGGTTTCTTTGTGAAATTTATCAATTTTGGTCTCCGTGATGTGATTTTGCTTTTGAGCACGATCTAAGTGTTAGTTTCATATTGAACTGTACCAAAGAAGTCTTGATAATCGATATCATTGAAGAACATAGAATCTTTCTTCAAGTCCTCTGGTTTTCTTCTCTCTCAAGCAATGAATCCAGATTTTGTTAGTCATGTACTGATAATATGTTAGACTTTACCATGTTAAGATGGTTTCTTATATCAAAACTATGCTTTTTGATTTGGTTTCTATATCTCAAAGTTTTAATAATATGGATTTAACTGATTGTTTTCAATATTTATCTTTCAGCTATCTATAATCATGGTTCTTGGAGATACCAATACGAATCAGAACCAATCCGTTAGAAGTAACCCTTTCTTGTTATATGACGGTGATCAGCCCGGTCAAAGCCTAGTTGGCGACGAGGTTCTTACTGGTTCTAATTACCATATTTGGCTCCCTCTAATGACCTTAGATTTGAGAGTCAAGAACAAGATTCGTTTTGTTGATGGAACACTTCCGGAAACCACCTGCCAATGATCAAACATCCACTATGTGGTCTTGTTGTAATAGCATGGTGATGTCGTGGATTACGAGTTCTGTATCTGAGGATATCAGAAATACTATTATGTACCATAAGACTACTCAAGCAATGTGGTCAGCGCTTAAAGATGTGTGTACTTGTGGAGCAAAGGAAGCTTGGGAAAAATACGAAGAAGAGGAGTGCCTTACGCAGTTTTTGATCGGAGTTAATCAATCTCACAGGCAAACAATCGATATGATTTTGACGAAGGAGCCTTTGCCTGATGTATATTGGGCTTTGAAACGCCTAGAGTTTGAGGAATCTCAAAGACCAATTGGTTCTAGGCTTTACAAAAACAGAACTTCCATCTATCCAAGACCACATCCTTATTAAGCCAACTTGTCTTTTTTTTTTCTTGCTATGTTCTTTAGATTCTTCCACCATTTACTTATAACTTGAATACGTTGTTTCATTGTTATATAGTTACCATTCTAATCATCAGATTGGGACTCAAACTTTTTAGTTAGATGGTTTGTGACTATCAAATGTGGTTTTCCAATACTGTGACTTGGAGTCATCTTATTCATGACAGTTTTTGTGTTCTCGCATTGTTACTTTTATCTAACTTGGTAATGACTGAATTAACGAAGAAGTTAGGTGGTTCAAGCAACCTTTTACGTTACTATCTTGCATTCATTTCTCTGTCTAAGAACTACCACAAGAACAGAAGCCATATAACTTCACTGACCTTTGTCATTATTTGCCTTCATTACCAATCTGAATCTGACTACTACTAGTCCTGCTGCATACAGTTGAAATATAATATAAATAACAACACAAAACAAATTATTATCTTCCAGTTCCAGATTTGGATTTAATTCCATCTGTATCATATTTATTTAAGAAATCGGAAGCCCACTGGCTTGTTCACCAACCCTATAATATATGGTGGGGTGGTTTTGGAGTTTATTTATTTATAGACTTAGACACTTAGTTGTGTTCCATAACCATTGTTGTAGACTTGATTAATAATTAACATAAGTACTCCAATTTATGATTAAGAATCTAAGTTGTTAAAAAAAAAATTAATCCTCCTAGTATTAAAAAAGTATGACAAAAGTGTTATTTTATTCATAACAGACTAAATCGAATCACATGGATAAGTATGTAAACATTCTATAATAGATTTATTTTTGTATCAAAAAGATTGATTTTCTGTAAATTTTTTTCAATTAATGTTAATAAATTGTGAAATTCAAGAATCATTAATTAAGAATTTTAAAATTTGATGAATTACTATTGGTTAATAGCTACGAAAAATGGTTTGGTATGACTAAATAGCGCATTATAACTAAACATTAAATGTATTCCTTAATTAGTGTGAAAACTCTATAAAATCAATCTTTTTGATACAAAGAGAGTATATTTTTTCAATAGTATTTCATGGCATCCGAAGACATCCATTGAAATAAATGGAATATGAGAAAAATCATATTACGCGATGTGGCACTAGCTATTTTAATTTTGATTCTTAATTGAAAATCATTTTCACATAGCATTCCACAAAAATTAAATTTATTTTGATGAATTATCCTATAAAACAAAATACACAAAGAGATTCGTCGATAGAAGTCTATTTCACCATCTAGTAGAATTTGGATTTTTTAAATGGGAAAAATGTTATTTAATACTTAAACTTTCAAAAAGTGGCCAAATTAACCGTGAACTCTTGAAATGGCCATTTTATACCTCAACAAAAAGTTGACTTCTAATTTAACCTATAAGTTTTCGTTGACCCGGCCTAATCGACTCACCGTTAATTCTCAGTAACTGCGCTTCTAACAGCGTAACTGCGTCCGTTACAGAGGTCTCCGTTATTGTCGAACGACGACGTTTTAGAGAATCTGAGACTACAAACCCAAACCACAACTCGAAAAATCCCCAAATCAAAACCAAAACCCTAAAAATCAATCCCTCTCAATTTTTTCAATCAAATCTGCATTATGAGCTGCAATTCAAGGAATTCGAATGTTGAAAGTGGAGGCTGCAATTCAGGGATGATTTCGAATGTTGAAGCTGGAGGTTTCAATAGCCGTGGGTTTCCTGTTAAGTGTAAATGTGGGCTAGACGTCGTCATGTTAACATCGAGCACGGCAAAGAACCCTGGAAGGCCTTTCTTTCGGTGCAAAAGCTGTAAAGATGTAAGTAAATTTGATTTGAGAATGTTATGTTTTTTGTGTTTGGTCGGTAAAGCTTGAGATGAAATTGCAGGATCATTTTTTCAAATGGGTGGAGGATTGTATGTATGAAGAGGTTGTAGATGCTCTACCCAAAATCTCCAGCATTGATAACGAGATTATCAATGCAAAAGCTGAGGTTGCAGTTGAAATTGCAAACTTAAAGGAGCTAATGATAGAGTTGAAAGAAGATGGAATGTGAAGCAAAAGAGAAATTCAGAGATGGAAAAAGATGACGAAAGTGTGCTTGGTGTGCCTTTGTTTTAGTGTCATTGCAATTGTGATATCAATGTTCTATAAGACAAAAAACCAGAAATTTGTTCTTGGTTATTAGTGTGTAATCGAATTGATGTCTAAATTGTTTTCTCTTGTTGTTGGTCTCTGTTGTTTAGTTTCTGTTTGCTTGTGCTTTTACTATGTAATGAAATGGAGCTTTGCTAATGGTAATGAATTTCATTTGAAAGAAAAGGTCAAAGATTATGTCATAAAGACAAGTTCAACCAACAAAAAGAGAAACCGAGAGTATGCTTATGTTATAAAGACAAGTTCAAACAACAAAAAGAAACCGAGACTAAGCTTATGTCATAAAGAAAGACAAGTTCCAACAACAATAAGAACACGAGACTAAGCTTATGTCATGTTTGACGAGAACATTCAAACCATGATCCAAGTCCAGCAAGTCCTTGCGGTTGTGCTTCTACTTGTGGTTGTGGTTGTGCAGTTCCATGTCTTCGATCAGCTACTGGTTGTTCAGACACTTGTGATGTTCCACGACCTCTTCCCCTTTGTCTTTGTGCTCCACGAGCTGTTCTCAAATGTCTTTGTGTTCCACGACCTCTTCCCCTTTGTGTTTGTGTTTGTGACCCATTGTTCTGCCCTTGTGAGCCATTATCCACCCCTTGTGAGCCATTATCATGTCCTTGTGATCCTTCTACATGCCCTTGTGGTTCCTAATACAAACATTACAATCAGTTTTTGATGGACTTAAAACAGAAATGAAAGATATACAAACCTGATTTATCCTTGGTCGACCTCTTGGTCTCGTTGGTGGACTTAAAACAGTAGCATTTTTGCATGATTGCTTGTTGTGCCCTTCTTGCAAGCAGTTAGAGCATGTCATGATCCTCTTTGCCCTTGACATTTTGGTCGGATTTGAAGAAGAGGCAACTTCATTTCGTCCTTTCCTTCTTGCATAATTACTTGGCCTTCCGGCATTGCCTCTTCTCCATGGTGGTGGCAAGACAGGCAACCTATTCAATCTACCCCACAATGGCATCCCTTGGACAGGCCTAATACCACAGAAATAGGTTTCTCGCCACCTATTTCTTGTGTAGTAGTCGTTCACATAGCTTTCAACCTTCTCCCTTTTCCCTATTATCACACATGTTGCATGAACACATGGGATCCCAACCATCTGCCATTTCCTGCAGCCACATGTCTTTAAATCCATATCAACAAAGTAGCCAACCCCATTGACATATATCTCATGCAAATTATCCCTAGACATGTATCTCTGTGTATTTTGGACTCCAGCAATCATCTTCTCAATCTCAGCATGAGCTCTCGGTGTGAACTTTGTTTTGCACCTGTCAGCAATGATAAACCTGTTGGCTGTTCTCACCATGCATTGCCTTCTGATGTCCTCTAGAAGATCCAACACTGGCTTCCTCCTAGCTTGTCTGATGGTCCGATTGAAAGACTCACTCAAATTGTTGAGATTGTCGTTGCAACATGTGCCTGTTCTAAAGAAGGCTCTAGACCAAGTAACCGGACTAGTAAGTTGTAGAGATGTGTAGGCTTGGATATTGTACCTCTTTAGGTCTGCCATGTAATTATTAAACTCTTCTACGGTGTAGCTGCGAGCTATCTTCCAAAATAGACATTGTAGCTCAATGTCATGGCTGTCTCTTTTCCAGTTATCCATGATGTGTTTGAACATTGTCGATGCTCAGCTTGCGGAAGAATGGTATGGATAGCCTTTACTAAACCCTGCAAAAAAAAAATTAAAAAACACAAGTTCAGTCTATCTCAAATAGTTCAAGATTGCTAGATCAGTCTATCTCAAACACAATAATAGAGACTAACCGATTGTTTATCTGAAATGATTGCTAGATCAGTCATTTCACAAAACCCCAAGCTTGTAGCGAGCTGTCTCAAAAACCAGTCCCGATTGTCATCATATTCTATCTCCACTACAGCCCAAGCAATAGGAACAATCCGATTGTCACCATCTCTTCCAACTGCGGCTAATAGATGTCCTTTTATGTCCCATTTCAGAAAAGCTCCATCTATCCCTATGACGGGTCTACAAGTTTGTTTCCATGACTCCCTTTGAGCTTGAAAACAAATATATAACCGATAAAATCTCTGCTTCCTTCCAATCACTGGTCCTGCAACTGTCTCAATGTTGAACTCTGTCCCCGGATTCCGCAACAAAACCTCTGCTTGATAATCCCAGATTCTAGCAAAATGAGAATCATGACTAGCACGTTTAGCTCTCAAAACTTTTGTCTTTGCCTTAGCACATTGGTCTGGAGACACTTCCAACTTATATTCTCTCATGATCTCAGCAACCATCTCATGTTTAGTGAGCTTTGGATTCACTCTCAACCTTTCTTCAAACAATTACCCAATGGATGACACCTTTAACATCTTCGAATATTCGGACCTCACACAAGTATGCTCATTGACATAAGTTCTTATTTGCATCTTATGTTTTCTCTTCTCATAAGAGCAACGGACTCTCCACGGACATTCAACACCCTCATCACTAACATACACACACTTAGCAGCAACCACCATAGCTTCAGATTTGTAAAGTTTAATGTCATTCCTTGTTTTTAGAGAATACATCAAAAGAGCAAGCTTGAAATCTTCAGGATAGTTATAAGTCTTCTCCAATGCTAGTAAAACTTCAGGATCGCCTAGATCATTTCGAGCTTCCTCTACTCTATCATCATCTTCATCGTCAGATGAAAAAGGGTCTGGAATCTTGTCTTCATCTCATATATCATCTCTGCTGTCATTGTCACTAGCTTCTTCTTCTTCTCTATTAGCCTCTGGAAAATCTCTATCGATGTCTAGATTACCAACCTCTTCGACACCTAAACCAGCTGTATCTTCAACTGCATCTTGAGCTTCCTCTTCTCCATTATCTACTGCATCATCAACCTCATCGCAGTCTTCATCTCCTTGGACTGCACAGTCATCGTCAATATCAGGTTCAGGAACTTCAGCCTCTAAATCCTCTTCTTCTTCCAATCTGATTTGCCTTCGTTTACTTCGCCTAAGTGGAGAACGAACTTCGGTTGCATCTGCCACATCAACGTTTGATACTACATTCGCTTGACCTCGAGCTTCTTCTCCAATTTGATCTGCTTCTCCTTCCCGCATTGCTTCAATCATATTTGGAATTAGGGTTTTGATTTGGGGATTCTTTTTTTCGATTTTGGTTTGGGTTGGGGATTTCTTTTTTTCTTTTTTTTTTCGATTTTGATTTTGGTTTGGGTTTGTAGTCTCAGATTCTCTAAAACGTCGTCGTTCGACAATAACGGAGACCTCTGTAACGGACGCAGTTACGTTGTTAGAAGCGCAGTTACTGAGAATTAACGGTGAGTCGATTAGGCCGGGTCAACGAAAACTTATAGGTTAAATTAGAAGTCAACTTTTTGTTGAGGTATAAAATGGCCATTTCAAGAGTTCACGGTTAATTTGGCCACTTTTTGAAAGTTTAGGTATTAAATAACATTTTTCCCTTTTTTAAATAGCATTCTTTTGTATCTTATTATGACATTTTATGCATATTTATCGAACTCTCTTTTCCTAAATAAAATTTCATACTGTCCAATGACAGTATATTATTATTCCAAACAAATATTCTCATTTCTATTGGTAGAATTGTCTATTCAACGATGCTTTTCAGTTTTGCCTCGTATAAAATAGTGCCAAATTCGTTTCCTTAATCTCCATTTAGTGATGGTAGGTTTTTCAATAATGTCAACATCCATTGTTATACGACAATTTTCTCCATAAAATCGAAAACTTACTTTTAATTAAAGGTAGTTATTTTAACGATATATCATTTAATAAAACTATTTAATTTTGTGATTCTTTTTTTCAGTCGTATCAAGAAAAGGCTGCGGACAAGCTTTTGAGACCCCAGTACTCAATGCTCATGTTTTGTAATGTATTTACATATCTAGAAGCAATTACAAAAAACCCCACTCGTTGGTTTAAGAACATTGTAGTGAATTGAAGTAGTTATAGTCTAGTTGTTTCGTTTGTTTGTCAATTCTTATTGGCCACACACACTCTTTGATACTGCGGTATTCACGTGATGATTGTATCAAGATTAGTCCCAAATCTGATCTAGTAGATGGATACATATACGTAATAAAGAAAAGACTTCACTATCGATTGTGATGCTTCTTTGATAATTGCTTCTAACTACTTACTTGTTCTGTCCTCTTCTACCGACAGTCGACCATTTATTTTAGCTCCTACCGATATTTTTAGTGTGTTTGTGTGATTTCGTTTGATGATTATATCTTTGGTCCACACTCCACAGCACAACCCTCGAGCTGGTCGATTATCTCGTGGAGACACCACAACCACTTAAATTTAATCTTTTAGGGGTAATATATATAATATCATTTCGTGCCATGACTTGGTCCCATTATGATTCTTCTTAGAGGTCACTAAGTTTGATTTATTCTTGATTATTATTGTGATGTCTAAATATGGTTTTCTAATTCACTAATGTTTCATCCGTAATATATAGTTGTACTTTGATTGCTAATCTCATAATTTTCATCTTTTTACACTGATTATATGCAATCTTTTATAATTAAATTGTTAATAATTATGTTTACTTGCATGAAATAAGTGATAATTTGGATATGATTGTCAGTTCACCCCTAGCTTCATTTTTCTCGAAGATGAGTTGCTTTGGTTGCGGTTCTCATTTGGATATGTGCATTGAACCTGCTTTGTTTGTGTCCAACAAACATGTCTTGTGTGTGGGTTGGAATCTCATTTTCCGGCTTATTGTCATGAAGTTGTTCATTGTCGGGGTATAAATCAAAATTTTTGTCGGGCGTTTGAGATTACTATCACTGCATTTGAAACTTTCGATTCTAATCGAAGTTAATAAGAGCGAGTTTTAGCTCTTGGTGAAGAGGATGTTCTGTGGTAGAAGAAATTTGTTGGCTGTGATGTGTGTGGATAATCAGAATCATAAAAAAAAATTAACATTGTTATAAATGAAGGTTAACATTGTGTCCATGGAGGCTAAATGTGTCAGATGTCATAACCATGGTACAAAGCGGTTCAGACAAGCCCAAAATTTTGGGATTTGTACTCACTATCATTCCCAGAGGCAAATCGACCCCAATAGTTCTCATTTTAACACACTTTAACCAAAAAAATTAGTGGAAAGAAATATTTGGCTCTATATGAAGTTCTCTATTTTCAACTTTGTTTCTCCACATTTTTTGTGAACAAAAGATGGTCCACCTTGGATATGTATAATTTTGCCTCATTGTGAAAAAAAGAAAAAATTGTCTCATTGACAAAAGATGAGAAGAGAAAGATTTTAACTTTTTTCTAGCCTGAAATGATAATAGGGCTTAGAAGACCCCACTCATTGTCAACTTTTTTGAATCTTTCAAAGTTGGAAAAAAAAAAAACAAACCGACAGAGAGAGAAAGAAACCCTCTGTCCATCAAGAAGGTTTCAGTCCCTTGCAACAAAAGTAAGAAAACCCAAAAGAAAAATTCTAAGGAACTAGAAGAAGAAAAAGAACGTAAACACATGAATCACAGATTTTTGATAATCACTTCTATGTAGCGTCTCTGTTTATTTCCCAGAACGATAAACAATCGCCACACAAAAATCTATAAGTACATCAAAAGAATCATAATGATGATGAAGAAGAAGAAGAAGCCTGAAAAAAAAAAACAACACTTCCACACAAGAATTATATAAGCATACAAGATAAAAGAAAGAAAAGGTTTCACTAAATGTGAACTTTTTCAATCAAAGAATTCCCAATTGAACCTGGGCGGGATCGCTTGATTATTTGCAGTAGCCGAACTCAATGGCGTCGCGGGATGATGATCGAATGTTTCCCATTTAGTAGAAGATTCTAACACAAATGGTCCTGACCCTGAATTCCTCGGCTCCTCTTCAATCTCTTGCTTCTTCTCTTTGTATTGTACCGGCATGTCCATGAGCGATTGTATCGGCTTCTGTCCTTGTCTCTCTTCATTGTTATGTTCTTGAATCGGTGCAAGTCGCTGAGCACCTAAATGTTTCTGTTGCCCATTTGCCATTTTCACCTTCAAGACATCGAGTGTTTCGACATAATTCTGCACTCTCTTCACCTATACAAACATAGAAACCAAATGTTGACAACTAAAGAACATTGCGAAAATCGCCAATCCTGAAATGATTTTGATTACATACCTGCATCTTTCTTTGTAACTTCACATCTCCTTCAGCCACAATCGCATCCAACTTTATCAACTCATTCATCAACAATTCGATAACCGTAACAAGATCTTTCTCCGGAATCTTCCCTCCTTTCTTAATTACCATCTCAAAAGCCGAAACCTACACACAAAAACACACATAAGATTTCCACGATTTCATCGAATCCAACCTAAGAAAGTAAGGGCTTGGCGGGCAGGGCATTACTCGTCCGCCGAGCCTATCAACTTCAAGGCTAATATCCGATATCGCTTTCGACGCCTTTTCGGTTTTAGCAATCTTCCTCATCTCCAAAAACCGTTTCTCTTGGCTAATCGGGTCTTCAATAAGCACCATCTTGGATTTATCTTTCACGCCCGAAACATCAAGAAACGCCTTCGAATCCCTCTCTTTATCTTTATACATTAGCTTCTGATCTTGATGATGAATACCCGTTGGTCCAGTCAACATCTTCTTTAGCTCCCCTGCATCAATCAAAACTCAAATTCCATTCTAACTTCCAAATTCAATAGATTATTCTTATGAATAAACAGAGACAAACTAACCAAAAGAAGCTTGAGGACTAATACTGATCTCATGATACACAGCACCGTACTTGATCCTAACTCTGATCAACGGCGGTGGTGGAGCTCCAACAGGATCCAAATCCGGGTTACGTTTCTGAACCAACATACCACCAGGTCTCATTTCCCAATCATGACCGCCTGACTCCCTGCCGCCGCCGGAACCTCTACCACCGCCGACCGCCGTCGGAAGATTTGTCGGTTTGTTTCTCATCATCTTCATCATTTTTTTTTTGTGGTTAATTAAAAACTATTCCTCTCAAGTAAAACGGATCTGAAGATATTTTTCTGAGAATCAAGACAAAGACATTGGAGAAAGACAGAAGAATGTTATTACAAGAAATCTGGGACTTGGAACATCATCAACACAACTCCAAACTCCAACCCATTTCGCCACGTATACTACAAAGATCAAAGCAGAGATCTTTCTGATCCAACAAAAGAAACAAAACCCAAATCAGTAGTCTCTCTCTTCTTTCTTCTTCTTCTTTGAAGCTTCCAATTAGAAGATTCTGAATTGACTTCAGATCAAGGAAAAAATTGGAATTTTTGGTTTCCCGAGAAAAATCGGTAAATTAGGAAAGAGTAGAAGAATCTGAGAAAAGCATCCGGATTCTCTGTTTAGAGTTTTCTTAGTTTCAGAGAACCCGTTTGGGAAAAAAATGGAAAAAGTTATTTTAATTATTTTAAGAGAAAAAAAACGAATAATAACGAGTGGCCAGCTAATTCAGTTCTTGTTGTGCCTGTGAACTGCTTATAAGTATGTTATTACATACATATATACATTTAATTGTTTTTTTTTTTTTTCCCACCAAACTCCATTTCTATTAAAATATCGGAAAGAGACTCTCCGCTAGGGAAAGTTAATCAGGAACCGACGAATTTACATAGGAAAAGAGACAATTTCGAGCCCGAGCATTTTTGGTTAAACAATCTGCTCAAGTATTAGAACTACGAGGAAGAAATATAATACTAAAAGAAGAGAAAAAACAAACGAGTGACCGGAAAGAGGCCATTTCTGCTGCGAAGGTTGGCTAAGCGTCTTGGTTGTCTATGAGAGATATCATGTTCGAGCAATCGGATGCGAAGGCGCTAGTAGTAAAACCTAACGAGATCATACATTTAATTGTATATGTATATTTTTTGTCGGAATATATTTTGTTTTGTCTTTGGGTTTTTTTTTTTCATTGGATTACTATTTTTCCAAAGTGACAGAGATATTAATTTGAAAATTTGGGTACGTTGATTATTAAAGTTAGATTTACTGTACTTCAGCTTAACCTTTTGATTATTGGGAAAATATCGTATTTGTGTGGGAGTAGGTTCAAGTGGATAAATTTACAAATGATGTATCACTAAATTGAATTCTAGATCCGTCATAGAATTTCAATTATGTAGGAAAAATTTGTATATATAAAAAAAAAAAGGTCATTTTATAAAGGACTTAATCATATTGATCAACTCTAAACAAACTACATTAAAATTTGTCCTATAATTATGAGAGCAAGTTACCGGAGCAGTAAAAGTTTCATGTTTGTAAGGTGAGGAGTATCTCACGAACTACGTCTTTTTGAGACTTCTGTTTATCATCGTTGAAGGTTTGAGAATGTCGCGTCTTATGTGTTTATCAAACTTTTGTTACTACTAGTGTTTTTCAGCATACTTTTGCATGTTCTGGTGAGATTTCTTCTTGCTCTCGGATTTTGGTAAGGCGGCAAAGATCATTGATCATCGTTACTCGTTCGGAAGCTTTTTGTTGTTAGTAATTTCTTCGATACAACGATTTAATATATACTCTCAAATTTTTTTATCACTAAATTGTTTATGCATATATTTGGATATCAACATTCTGTTTGTGAACTTTCATGCCATCATTATTCGACTGTTAGAGAGTTATATAGACCTAGACAAATGAAATGGTTATCAAGATTTTGGAAAGTATCAAATTTGTTTTGTAAGATTGGAAAGTATCAAATGATGTTTACCAAAAATTCTCAAACGTTTAAATTAGAAAATTCTTAAAACAGGTATAGTAAATTCATTGAATGTTACGTGGATTTATCTCTACTCAATCAGTTTATTAGAAAAATACGTAAAAATTCTACAAAGTATCTAAGAAGTTCAAGGATTAAGAACAAAAATGGATAGTGTAGCTAACAAAGCATTAAAGTACCTAGTGGCTTCAATACGCTTATAAATATTGTATTAGAAAATAAATAAACAAAAAGTTAATACAAATTAGGGCAGTGTTATTGTACGACGAGGTGCAGGTAAAGCAATAGAAGACGAATTCGTCCTGTCGTCCACGTGTGATGATGCCTAATGACAATTTGGGAAATTTCAAAATGGATCCATCCAATCATTGACTCTGCGTTGGTCTTTAACACAACCATGTGGTTCTTATCCTACGACACGTGTCCGTGTTCGACGGCGAACCATTTGGGATCGATCGGTGATTGTTTTTCTCCTCCCGGTCATTTACTATTTAACCAAACCACTCGACTCCTCGTTTCATGTGTTTTGGTAAATTCTTGTCAACGTGTTAGTTTCAAGACTATTTTGGTTCATCCTTTTATCTACGAGTGAATTTGTGCAAAGGTAAAAATAGAACATATAATTAACTAATCGGTAATAAGTAATTTAGTCTCAGCCAAACAAAAAATCAGGCTTTATCAATAGCCCTTAATTTTAAAAGAATTATAAGAAAAACCAGTTAGTTACAAAAACTATGCTCGTGTGATAGCACCATTGACTTTTTAGAGAGGGAAAAAAAATAAAATGACAGTTATTAAATGCTTTGTTGTAGAAGTGACATTTACGCAGCAATAGAAAAAAGGAGGAGACTTGTATTAAATGCGAACTGACACACTGTCTTCGAATCTCTTAATTTTGAATCTCTAACGCAACTTGTTGGGCGAGAATTTGAAATTTTAAACTGTTAACATAATGGAATAGACACCCAATAAATAGGCATGCAGCTGTGTTCCAAAAAAATATACATGTAAACACATATATAAAACGCTAAAAATAATTATAATGGAATGGGTTGGCTGATTTTTCAGCCCTTAACTATTCGCAAACTCAAGGAATCCCCCTATACTTTTTCGCTCTTAAAAAACCACCAACAACTAACAATTTTCTCAATTAAACATCACATACTTTCGGATTTATCTTGATAAATACACCTCCAATCGAACCGACCATTAAACCGGGTTTAACCACAAATCCGCGTTTATTCTACCGCGATTAGGATTACCCGTTTGATTACTCATGACCCGAGAGTTAAAACGACGTCGTTTTGACTCTTCTCTTTATTTCTCAAAATAAAGCCAGGGAGCATTGCCGGAGCTGTAACTGCTCGAAGAAGAGAACTTGTACGACGGCTCGTAGCGGAAGCCACTCGTTTTGCGCGGCGTGTGTGCATGCTTCCAACGTCAGTTTCTGACAATCCATCACGCCGCAGATCTTCTCCCTCTCTGCTTCCGATACCCATGGATGCGCCTATTGAAGAAAACGAAATTATTAGATCCATTTTTTCTCGGATCTTCTTCACATTGAATGTTATTGATTTACCTTGAGATATACGTCGACGGCTCTATAGAGTCCGTCATCGTAGAGACGAGCTTGATCTGGGAGTGAGATGGCTAGATTGTAGAATTTATCCGATTTGAGATTAGCGTCGGATGCGATCTCAGCGAGAAATCCGTCGATTAATTTTCCGACGAGCATAAGCGACGGAGATTTTCCGTCAGCTTCGACTACGGCGGTGTTTGATTGTTCCAAGGTGTCGAGAAAGTGAGCTAAGATTCTCTCTACCAAATCAACATCGTATAAAGTCTCGTTAAGGTATGAGTAGCTAGGGACGAGCAAATCGTCGAGCGTGGCTCTCTCTAGCTGTGTTCTGATCTTTCTCTCCAATAGATCACGGCAAATCTCGGAGGCGTTGAGGATGATGGCGGTTCGTAACAAGCCGAAGAGGAATCTCGTTGTTGAGGAGATGGAGCTTTTATCTAATGGAAGATTAGAGGTTATAGTCTCCAGTAGTTCTCTCTGTTCATTCTCTGAAATTGCAGTAGAAGATGACGATGGCGGTTTCCGGTTAGAGCGTAGAATTCTCAAAACAAAGCCAGGGAGCATTTATTTCTCAAAATAAAGAGAAGAGTCAAAACAACTCGGGTCATGGGTAATCAAATGGGTAATCCTAATCGCGGGAGAGTAAACGCGAATTTGTGGTCAAACCCGGTTTAATGGCCGGTTCGATTGGAGGCGTATTTATCCAGATGAATCCGAAAGTATGTGATGTTTAATTGAGAAAATTGTTAGTTGTTGGTGATTTTTTAAGAGTGAAAAAGTATCGGGAGATTCCTTGAGTTTGCGAATAGTTAAGGGCTGAAAAATCAGCCAACCCTAATTGAATAGACAAACAGACTTGTATTAAATGCGAATTGACAGACTGTCTTCGAGATTTTGAATCTCTAATGCAACTTGTTGGGCGAGAATTTGAAATTTTAAACGGTTAACATAATGGAATAGACACCCAATAAATAGGCATGCAGCTGTGTTGCAAAAAAATATACATGTAAACACATATATAAAGCGCTAAAAATAATTATAATGTTAAGTTATTGGATCTATGTATACATGTAAATGGATATATATATATATATATAGAGCGTTATTAAAATGTGTATGCATGTAAACATGTTTAAACATGTATATTAGACATTATTAACATTTTTTTTTTTTTGACACCAAAACACCATTATTATTAAGCTAGTTCGAAAAGGTTAGCCTCGTGAGCCAACCACTCCGGAACTTGGGAGCTTACATGGGAAAAAACTAGACCTCGTACTCGAGCGCTCTTTGCAAGACGATCGGCACGGACATTATTGTTTCTAGAGATATGAGAAATCGAAAACAGAACAAATCGGGCTCTAAAACCTTTAAAAATATCTAACTCCGAAGAAAACACTGGCCAATCTTCTGGTTCCTCAAGGACACTAATGATCCCCAAGCAGTCAGTCTCAAAATGGACTGAAACCAACCCATTGAGAAGGGCACCTTCCATCGCCCAGAGGAGTGCACCAAATTCAGCATGTAGAGCATTCTGGTACCGGTTTATACCTCTTAGTCCAAAGAGCTTGATGGGGCTATTTATAACGAAGCCAAATCCAGAAAGTGGATCATTACCTTCCCACGACGCATCCAGCTGACAAGTTATCTCTCCTCTCGGATTTTGAGTAGCCTCCATCTCGTCCGTATCTTCGTCTTCAGACTCTTCATGAGTTTCCATAACTTGCGCCAATTGCCAGCTTTTTGTCTCTGACAGGGCTAATGCAAGCGTCTCTGGAGGTTGATTATCTTTGTTAGAGAAAACTTTGTCGTTCCTAGCCTTCCAGATGTACCAAACAATCCAAGAGAAAGATTCTAATTGTTCCGCTGTTACTCCTTGCTTCTTTGCCACCCAAAGGAGGTAGTCGAAGTTGGAGAATAGAGAACTACACGGGAACAGCCCCAGAGAGGTCGGAACAGACGATAGAGCCCATACTTGTAGAGCCGGAGGGCACTCAAAAAGCACATGGTTAATCGATTCCTCAATCGCACCACATCTCGGACATGATCTATCTGAGCCGCAGTGCCTGTCTGCAAGACGGCTGCTAGTAGCCACGTAGCCAGCTAACGCTTGCCAAAGGAAATGCTTGATCTTTCTAGGAGCCTTTAATTTCCAGACTTGGCTTTTCAGTTTTGTAGTACTCGGCTCGAGGACTTCAGCACTGCTTTGGAGGG